GCAGGAGAATGGCGTGAACCTGGGAGGCGGAGCTTGCAGTGAGCCGAGATCGTGCCACTGCACTCCAGCCTTGGCGACAGAGCAAGACACTGTCTCAAAAAAAAAAAAAAAGATATACGTTGGCAAATAGGATTAAAAAATTAGACCCAACCATCTGCTGCCTACGAGACACCCACTTAACGTATAAAGACACCCACAGTATCAAAGTAAAGGGATGAAAAATGTTTTATCACTCAAATGAAAAACAAAAAATAGGGAATTGCTATTCTTAGATAAAACAGAATTTAACTAGAAAAGAAGACTTAACTATCTTAAATATATACACACCCAACACTGGAGCACCCAGATTTATAAAACAAATTCTACTAGACCTAAGAAAAGTTATAGACAGCCATGCAAAAGTAGTGAAGGACTTCAACATTCCACTGACAGTACTAGATAGATCATCAAGGTAGAAAACAAACAAACAAACTCTGGATTTATACTGGACTCTTGATCAAATGGACCTAATAAACATCTACAGAACATACTACCCAGCAACTGAAGAATATATATTTTTCTTATCTGCATATAAAACATTCTGTAAAATTGACCATATCCTTAGCCATAAAGCAAGTCTCAATAAATTCAAAAAAATGAAATCATATCAAGTATCTTCTCAGATCACAATGGATTAAAATCAGATATCATTACCAAAAGCAATTCTCAAAATCACACAAGTACTTGGGAACTAAACAACTGCTCCTGAAAGAGTTTTCAGTAAACAATGAAATTAAGACAGAAATCAAAATATTTTTGAAACAAATGAAAATAGAGACACAACATACCAAAACCTCTGGGACACAGAAAAAGCAGTATTAAGAGGGAGGACTATAACATTTCATGCCTTCATCAAAAAGAAAGATCTCAAATTAGCAACGTAACATCACACATCAAGAAACTATAAAAATAAGAATAAACCCAAAGCTAGCAGAATAAAAGGACTAACAAAGATTGGAACAGAACTTAATGACATTGAGACAAAAAACAATTATATCAAGGATCAATGAAATGAAATTGGTTCTTTGAAAGGGTAAACAAAATTGATAGACCACTAGCTAGATTAACCACTTTAAAAAAGAGAGAAGATTTAAATAAACAGAATCAGAAATAATAAAAATAACATTACAATTGCACAGAAAGAGAAAAAGATCACCAGAGACTACTATGAACATTTCCGTGCACACAAACTAGAAAATCTAGAGGAAATTAATAAATTCCTGGAGACATGCAACCTTCCAAGAATGAATCAGGAAAAAACAGCAATCCTGAACAGACCAATACGAGTAATAAAATTGACTCTGTGATTTAAAATTTTCCTACAGAAAAAAAAAAAGCCCAAGACAAGATGGATTCACAGCCAAATTTTATCAAATGTAAAAAGAAATGCTGGTACCAATATTATTGAAACCATTCCCAAATATCAAGGAGGGGAAATTCTTTCCTAACTCATTCTATGAAATCAGCATCATCCTGATACCAGACTCTGGCAAGGACACAACAGAGAAAGAAAGCTACAGGCCAATATCTTTGGTAAATATAGACGTAAAGTTCCACAACAAAATACCAGCAAGCTGAATCCAATAGCACATCAAAAGATAATTCTAGGGATACAACGATGGTTCAATATATGCAAATAAATAAACGTGATTCACCACATAAACAGAATTAAAAACAAAAACCATATGATCATCTCAATAGATACAGAAAAGGCCTTTGATAAAATCTAGTATCCTTTCATGAAAACAAAAATCCTCAACAAAATAGACATCAAAGGAATATACCTCAAAATAGTAAGAGCCCATATATGACAAACCCCCAGCCAACATTAAGAATAAAAAAAAAGTTGAAATTATTTTCCCTAAGAACTGGAACCATATAAGGATGTCCACTCCCACCCTGCCTATTCAAAATAGTATTGGAAGTCCTAGCCAGAGAAATCAGGCAAGAGAAAGAAATAAAAAGCATCCAACTTGGAAAAAAGGGAGTCAAATTATCTATTTGCTGATGACATGATTTTATACCTAGAAAACCCTAAAGATTCCTTCAAGACTCTTAGATTTGATAAACAATTTCAGTAAAGTCTTAGGATACAAAATTAACATCTGAAAATCAGTTGCATTTCTGGACACCAAAAACACTCAAGCTGAAAACCAAATCAAGAACTCAATCCCATTTATAATAGCCATGAAAACATATAAAATACCTAGAAATACATTTAACCAAGGATGTGGAAGGTCTCTACAAGGAGAACTATAAAACTGATGAAAGAAATTGTAGATGACACAGACGAATGGAAAAACATCCAAAACATCCCATGTGCATGGATTGGAATAATCAATAGCGTTAAAGTGACTATCATGCTGCCCAAAGCAATCTACAGATTCAGCATAATTTCTATCAAATTAACAATGTCATTTTTCACAGAATTAGAAAAAACAATCCTAAAGTTCATATGAACAAAAAAGAGCCCAAATAGCCAAAGTAATCCTAAGCAAAAGAAACAGAGCTGAAGCCATCACATTACCTCACTTCAAACTATACTACAAGGCTATAGCAATCAAAACAGCACAGTACTGGTACAAAAATAGTCATATAGATCAAATGGAACAGAATAGAGAACCCAGAAATAAAGCCACATACCTACAACCAACTTTATCTTTGGCAAAGTCAACAAAAACAGGTAATAGAGAAAGGACACAAATGGTACTGGGAAAACTAAATAGCTATGTGCAGAAGAATGAGACTGGACCCCACATCTCTCATTATATACAAAAAGTAACAATATGGACTAAAGATTTAAATGTAAGACCTAAAACTATAAAAATCCTAGAAGAAAACCTAGGAAAAACTCTTCTGGACATTGTCCTGGAGAAAGAATTTATGACTAAGACCTCAAAAACAAATGCAACAAAGACAAAAGTAGACAAATGGAACTTAATTAACTAAAGAATTTCTGCACAGCAAAAGAAACAGTCAACAAAGTAAGCAGACAGTCTTACGTTAAAAAGGGAGACCATATTTGCAAAGTATGCATCCAACAAAAGACTAATATCTAGAATCTATAATGAACTCAAATGAACAAGAAAAAAAAACCCATTAAAAAAGTGACATAGTAGACACTTCCCATGAGAAGATATACAAGTGGCCAACACATATATTAAAAAATGTTCAACATCACTAAGCATCAGAGAAATGCAAATTAAAAGCACAGTGAGATATCATTTCACAACCACTCAGAACGGCTACTATCAAAAAGTCATAAAATAAAAGATGTTGGCAAGGAAGCGGAGAAAGGGAGCACTTACTGTTGGTGTGAATGTAAATTAGTTCAACTCCTATGGAAAACAGTATGGAGATATCTCAAAGAATGAAAAATAAAACAACCATTTGACCCAGGAATCTCACCACTGGGTGTCTACACAAAAAAAAAAAATCATTATATCAAAAAGATACCTGCACTCATATGTTTATCACAGCACTATGCACAATAGAAAGATATGGAATCAACCTACGTGTCTATCAACAGATAATTTAAAGAAAATGCGGTATATATTCTCTGAGAAATACTATGCAGCCATAAAAAAGAACAAAATCATGTCCTTTGCAACCGCATGGATGGAGATGGAGGCCATTATCTTAAGTGAACTAACTCAGAAACAGAAAATCAAATACCACATGTTCTCACTGATAAGTGGGAGCTAAACAATAGGTACACATGAACACAGAGATGGAAATAATAGACACTGGGGACTCCAAAATGGGGGAAGGAGGGAGGGGGATGAGGGCTAAAAAGTTACCTAGTGGGTACAGCGTTCATTACCTGGATGGAGGGTTCACTGCATATCCATGTAACAAACCTTCACATGTACCCCCGAACCTAAATGAAACAACAAATAAACTAGGGAGATACACGAGCAGAGGACCTGCTTTGTAGCTTTCATAAAGTCACTGATATTTCTATCTGTTTGTCGCCCTATTCCATAACTGCAAAAAGACATTGTCTGTCTCACTTTCAACAGATGGGAGCTTCTTGGGCAGAGGTACAAAATCTGACATATTGCTGGGGCTTGGCATATAATTTAGTGCCAGCTGACCCCCTCTGCCCTCGCACTAGTTTGAGATGCACTGAATTGAAGCCAAGCGTTTTCAGTGTCTGGCCTTGAGTCTTCTTCAAAGGTCCTCTGGTCGAGCTGGCTTCACACATGCCTCAGATGCCATAGATGAGTTATTTTGTCTAGAGCACTCAGTTGACCCTTTGGAAAGGCTGGTCTCATAGGGTCCCTCCTCTGTCCCAGCCCTTCCACGTGTGGGCAGAAAATTGGTCCTGTATCCCAGCTCCCACAGGGCTGAGCTATTGAAGCTGCCCAAGAGTGGACATTCAATATATGTCTAGCTTCCCAGAGGGCAGCCAGGCCCTGAGGGGTCTGGAGCCAGGATCTGGAAGCTGGTTTGGCTGTGGGACCAGTTGAATCCCTCTCTCCACAGCAGTCCCACTGTTCTGCCCCCATTCCCTTTCCTTTTTCCTAAAACGGGAGGCAGATTCAGCTCAGCATTTGAGAGTCTCTTGTCTCTGGCTCTCCCACACCCACCCACCAAGGCAGAAAGAGGCTGGAAAGCAGGAGCTCAGTTGCAGGTGCTTCTGGCCTCTAGCTACAGGAAACTGCCCCCCCCCCAACAACTCTTTCTCAAAAAGAGACTGCCCATTTCATGGCACAATGCTTAATTACAAAGTGTTTCTATGATGTGAATCTTTACACAAATCAGGGAGAAAAATGATCTTCTGTTTCCACCCAAGAAACAACATGATTCAGGTTCAAACCAAGAAGAAGAACCATTTTGGTCAGAAGGAGAAAAAAAAGGTTTAGATCTCCAAGAAGTGGTGAAGCACTTTATTTTCTGTAAATCATCATGACATCAGTTTCAAGACCCACCCAACTGGGAGCATGGGGAATTTTTTCTTAGAAGGTTTGGACTGGCATCTTGGGACCCTGCCCCTACCCACACTGCCACTCGCCCTCTGGCAGGGCTGCCCTGGGTCTTCTATGCTCAAGCCCACTGTGCTGTCCTTTCCTTTCAGGGGGCTACACACAGGCCCCCGGTGTGGGACTCCAGACTTCTCTCTGCCCTGTCCCCAACCTGAAAGGGAAATCTCTCTTTTCCATCACTGCATTCCAAATCACTCTGCTCCCTGTCAAATGAAATCTTGTGAGACTGACTTTTGAAACAATCAGGAATACTCCTACCATTGTGCTTCTCCCTAGAGGAAATGAAGCCAAAATCTGGGATCTGCTTGACGCAAGATAAGAAGAAAGGGGGAAGTAAAGGGAGAGGGGAGAAAAGTTAATATACTGTGTATTATTCAATCACACTTGCTTTCAGAAAGAGTTACAATTCCTGTTGAAGTTGGTGACCAGTAGCACCAATTTTCTGTTTATGTTTTAAGTTTGGCTTAGAGTTCATAATTTGTTTTAGTCATTTTAAAGCATTCCCCCCTTCACGGAAAATTACTTATAACAAAGTAATCTCAAATGAGGATATATTTGACGTATTCTCTGGACAAACAAATCAATCTTAAATATTGATCAGAATATTTAAAGCAGAATTATGCTTTGGAGCCTTTCAGATTTCTCTGCTACCTAACAAGTCCTATACTGTCTTTAAGATGCCCTGTCTTACAGGAAGCCTGCCTTGACTGACACAATGCAAACTGATCCTCACACTCTCTTAATTCCTATCACTTTTGTGGTAATTTCTTGTACTTTTGAACCCAATCATATACAGTCTTACTGCCAGCTTTTTACCTCCCTAGAGCACATCGCTCAGAGCTACCTAACTCTGTAGGTAGGATAAGCGCAAAACTTTGAGGGCAGTGATCGTGACCTAGTTGTTCCATCATTTTCCCAAGGTCTCATACATAATAGGGATCCATAAATATTTATTCAATGAATGAATGGATTATACAATCTTAACCAGTTGCTATTGCCCTTAGCTATTTCTCCTATTTTCCTCAGCAGTAATTCAGTGGGAAAAAATTTAGGGGGTTCATATTCACTCATGGAAATAATGAAATGGCCTGTTACTTTTCTATGAAATCAAATAACTGAAGAACAAAATGTTCTTTAAGGCATTGATTAATGTTCTATATAAAATACTGAAACGTGCAGCCATAAATTATGCTGGCATTATGCATATTTCTATTTCTTACGTTTCCAACTAAGACTGTTGATGTTAGAATGTTAAAAAGTGTTCTTCATTTCAAAATAAATTTGTATATCATTGAGGTCCTGTGGTTACTTTTTGCTTCAAGCATTTGCAAAACAATTCCAAAGAGCCATCAATATAGATATTTTACAGACAGCAGCATCAATTATTTTATTGGAAAATATTCTAATATTACCACATTCCAAGTGAGGAAAAATCCTTACTTATCCTGGATGATTCCAAATAATGAATAATGACCTTTAAAATTCATTTAATAAACAGGTGTCTTCCTAATAACTTGTGTGACAATTTTTTTTTTTTTTAGTTTTAGATTCTTACGTCTTTTTAAATTTATTTCTAAGAACAAGTCATCCAAAATTTGAAATATTTCACACGAAGATCATGTATGGATGCTGACCTGTATGCCACTTCAGATCCATACAGCCAGGTGTGCACAGCATTTTAAAACTGGATAGTTTGGTTTGAAGAGTATTTGCACCACTCTGGCTTCTTTGGTTGATGCAAGTTCATAGAGGTGACCAGGTAAAAAGCTGCCATTGTGGTATTCTGTTTTCAGAAGTCTCCCAACATACTTCCCATTTGTCTGGACTGCTATCCTTTGTCCTGGACTCCTCTTACACACGGCATCCTCCGACCTCCCCTCTAGCTCACCCCAAATTTGGGCTCCCTTCTGCTCCCACTCTCTGCAGAGCCCCTTTGCTCAACACCACAGTTTTGGATTTGCTCTGTATTCAGTGACTATCTTCCAAGCTCCTGCCACATCCATGCACTGTGCCCATGAGATTACATGAAATCAAGAGAAAGAGAGCTCCCTCTAGGAACTCTCACTGTGGGGAAGATGACAAATGTCAAAAACTGGGTGACTGCTGTTACCAGGGGATCATTGGAAGGCCATCTAATCCAGTCCTGGAGTGGCAAAAAGGCTTCTAGAAAGTTGATCCCTTTGTGGAATAATGGCCAAGAAATAGTGCATGTGAGACCCCTCTCGGGACTCTCAGAACTAATTGGGGAGAAACTGTAGGTGCTGGAGCCCCACAAAGCTGCTAGGGCAGGGCCAGATAAATATTGTTTTATGGTCATTGTAATGATCCACTCCTGTGAGGATAAGCAAGAAGCCCTTTCAAATACAATTATTTTATATCTGGGTACTTTTGAGTTCTCTAAGAAATACAGGTCCATTTACTATTATTTTGGAAATTCTTTTGATGGTCAGTGAAGTATCAGATTACCTTGCTGCTGTTACTCTAAGTGACTAATGCTACTTAATTCTAAATACTGTACCCTCATGAGAAAATGAGAGTGAAAAGGTAAATAATACCTTACTACTACTCTGAAAATAATTCTGACTTCATGGACCCTCTGAAAGAATCTCAGAGTCCTACTTGGATCACTAGGCCATATTTTGAGAATGCTAACAGGGAGTATAACCTTAAAATAGATTTTTAAGAATGTGCCTGGATTCGTAGAGGAGGAATTATTTGATTGATGAATGATGCCTGCCTTGGGCACAGGAGCAAAGCATAATATCATATTTGTGAAGTATACAGACACTCAAACTCCATCTACAGTAATAAGATTGGTTTTTAAATAAGCATTCCATTATCTATACATAGAAATGAAAGCTGTCCTTCATAGTAGTCATGCTTAGAATCTAGTTATTTCAACAACTATCACTGTGATTAAACTATTGGAGTTCACTGTAAATCTGAAATGCAAATCAAACTCCTTACTTTACAGGCAAACTTGGTTTTGACCAAAATGATACTTAGGAGTTGGATAAGTTACTTATACTGCCAGTCTTGGCTCCAAATGACTTCTACTTCCGGAACAAATTTAATCAGCCTTGAAGGATGCAAATGTGTGATTAATAAGGTCATAAGATTATCCCATCGGCCGGGTGCGGTGGCTCAAGCCTGTAATCCCAGCACTTTGGGAGGCCGAGATGGGCGGATCACGAGGTCAGGAGATCGAGACCATCCTGGCTAACACGGTGAAACCCCGTCTCTACTAAAAAATACAAAAAACTAGCCGGGCGAGGTGGCAGGCGCCTGTAATCCCAGCTACTCGGGAGGCTGAGGCAGGAGAATGAATGGCGTAAACCCGGGAGGCGGAGCTTGCAGTGAGCTGAGATCCGGCCCCTGCACTCCAGCCTGGGCGACAGAGCGAGACTCCATCTCAAAAAAAAAAAAAAAAAAAGATTATCCCACCAAGGCTGGGCGCAGTGGTTCAGATCACTTGAGGTCAGGAATTCAAGACCAGATTCAAGACCAGCCTGACCAACATGGTGAAACCCTGTCTCTACTAAAAACACAAAAAAAGTTAGCCAGGCATGATGGCACATGCCTGTACTCCCAGCTATTCAGGAGGCTGAGGCGGGAGAGTCCCTTGAACCTGGGAGGTGGAGGTTGTAGTAAGCCAAGATCGCGCCATTGCACTACAGCCTGGGCAACAAGAGTGAAACTCCGTCTCAGAAAAAGAAAAAGATTATCCCACCAATAATTTGAGTTTCTATAATGTATTGGGTACCCTGTAGAGTGCTGAGGATGGAAATGAAAGGCACAATCTCTGCCCTGAGGCTCTTCTAATATGCATGGAACAGACAAGGAAACTAGCAGTTAAAACCAGCATAAGCAGCACTATCCCTGAGGGGAGCTCAAGCTGTGTTGAAAGCAGCCAACTCCAAGAGGGTGGAGAGAAGTAAGGAAAGACTTCCTGGAGATATCTCATCAGCTGAGTTCTAAGGACTTGAATGAGTCAGGTAGTATGAAATAGGGGAAGTGGTGCATCAGTGAGGAGGACTTCCAGAGGGATAGCAGGTGCAAAGACATGAAGACAGAAGAACTGTAGACCACTTACACTTGCTCTGACCCACAGTTGGGAATGCACCTTTGAAACCATGGCATGCCTCCCTCACAAAAAGAGGAGGAGAGATGGTGAGGACAAGTCAGAAAGAATCGCATCACATTTACTGGAAAAGTCATTAAAGCATATGTCCCCTGCAGCCACATGGCCTATTGAGATACTCAGGTTTGGAACTCATTAACTTGGGTTGGAGTTTCCTATTCTCTTTGAGCCTCGAAGTTTTCATCTGTAAAATGAAGACAGTCAACTTATGGTTGCATTTGCAAGGGTAAATGGGGTGTTTGTAAACTGGTAGATAACGGGTGCTCAAAAATGGTCATCATCTTATCTCTACTCAATATTAATAAGGCCATGGCTGGCAGACGCATAGCAAGGGCAAAACCAAACACAGCATGAAATGTCAGCATCCAAGGGGTTGTTCATTTTATACTGGAAGACCTGTCACGATGTCTAAACTTAGTGTTTCACCAAGAAAATGTGACAATCAAGCAATGTACAGTCAAGATCAGGTTAAAATAGGGAAATGAAAGTAAATGTGCACTGACAATCCTAGCTTTTTAAAGGTTTCTCTTCATGGATTGTTTTGTGCTCCTCCTCCTGCAAGACGGTGAGTCTCCACAGGCCCACGAATGTCATAAATGAGTGCAAGCTTGGGAAAGCACCTATCCTGTGCCCAGGACAAAATATCTGTGGTCCAGAGCAGAGCTCCCAACCCAGCCACTGTGAATCACGCTTAGCCCCACAAAAGAAAGGAAAACAGGAGAGACATCGGATTGGATCTTCCAGAAGGTCTTTGTTGCAATTTTTCTCCATCATTGAAAAAAAAATTACATCATCAAACAAAGACAATAGCAGCACAGCTTATTGAAATGTCACAAGCAAATTTGTTTTGTACTTTCCCTAAGAACATTACGAAATCCCCCTCCCCCGGCATTATTTTCTGTAAAATGCCTTTTTTTTTTTTTTTTAAAGCACCATGAAATCCTACAGAGAGAAAAATAAGTAAAACACCTCCACACATGGATTTATCATCGTCACTGGGTCCCCTGCCTGTGACTCTGGGATGGGAAGGAGGCCAGAGGCTGGCATGTGAGGTGGTTTGCATATCGCTTCTAGGCACCACTGCACCTTCTCCCTTCAAGCTCAGAGCCCCGACAGCAAAGGAGAGGTTCCGCAGTTACTTTCTGCAGCATCGGTCTGCTGAATCAATGGAGCAGGAGTCCTCTCAAAATAATTTCTTTTAATGCACAGGGAACTGTTTCAGATTTTTCACCTAAGAATCAGGAACACAAAGTAGATACCAAATCTCAGGCACCTGTGAAAATGATCACCACTTTCAGTAAAATCAAGAGACACCTCTCGTTTCTCCTCAATGTCACTGCACTGATGTCGAGTGACTTATGACAGGCATGAGAGAACTGAGGTTTACATAGAGTATGGGTGGGTTGGTGAAGTCCAATGAAGGTATGGTGCAGGAACAGAAGTCAGGGCTTTGCTTACAGCCATGTAATTAGCATGCTGTTCCAAAGATTCCCTATGCAGAATTAACAGCATCCACAGTGCTACACTACAGTGATCTTTGTTTCAGAGAATTACTCTTTTTCTTTTATAAGGCCATTACTAGCCAGCTCTTACTGCTCACTCAGCCACTGTCTTTGCACACAATTGCATCATAACAGTGAGAAAGAATAACCCCATATTAGCAAAATGCAACAAGCAGAGATATGGAATGCAACACGGGCTGGTTTTTCCTTTCTCGTTTTACAGGGGCTCTGAATGTTTGTTTTCCTACGCCTTTCCCATGGTTCCGAAACCTTGGTACACACTGGATGCTTCACATTCTCACCAAATCCAGTGGGTAAAAACCAGCCCCACCCAAACTCCGGTCACCTTCTCACTAGTCCTCAGAACCCAGCATGCAAATAGACAGGCAGCACTGACGAAGCTAGGAAATGATATCATCTCAGAGGGAGGCAAGGGGGCGGGTTCTTAATTTTTAGCTCAACTAAGACTTCAAACATGGAATGGTCCTTATAGAACCCAAAGCAGCCATTTCCTCAGGGGTGTGTGTGTGTGTGTGTGTGTGTATGTGTGTGTGTGTGAGAGAGAGAGAGAGATGTCTGTCTGATCATAGTACTTGAATTCATGATACATGAAGTACTACAATTGACTGCAAATAGCAACAGCTTAAAATTCTTTAACTAGTCTTAACACCATGCAAAAAATGCCCGCACAGCATGAGCCCTCCCGGTAACAGTACACTAAAGAGCTATAAGGGAGGACAGAGAGAGCCTACACAGGGCATGATCCGAATTTGGACACCAGTCTCCCACGTACATCTGGTCTCCATCAATCCCCCAAAGACAAATCCCAAAGGGCAGGAGACTAAGCTCTCACCTTAACCTAAAATGGGCAAGACAATTAATTAGTCATTATTCACAAATCCAACTTATAACTTAATAAATTTAGTGAACTCATGGACTAGGGAGTCTTTCATTAGAGAACTGCATAACTACAATGGACCTTGACAAGTATCTGTGCTCAACTCCCTTGATGTGCAGACAAGGTAATAGAGATCTAGGCAGGGAACTGATGTGCCCACAATCACAGGCTATGACTAGTGGAACACAAATAGTCCCAGTTACCTTAGTAACAGGCCAGAGATGGCCCAACACCACCCCAACCCCCACATACGCACGCGCATGCGCACGCACACACATACACACACGCACACACTCTATACAGCCCTGCCCCAAAGTGATAAATTCCTGGAATCACTATTGGGTTAGGACTGGGTATGGAGCTGTACTCTTTCCAGGAAAAAATGCCCATTGGCTCTCTCACCAGTAAACCTCCAGATTTGTCATGCAAGAGAAATTCAGTGCCCGATTGCCAGTGAAGCCAGTGAAGCCAGTGAAGCAAAAGACACCCCCCACCGAAGATGGTGGACGTGTGCTCTTTCCGTGTGCGAAATTGACACATTTCTCCTAGGTTTATGGTGGAGTGGGAGTGCAGATTGGAAACGGAGGGCTGTGCTGATGCATGTATAGAATGTGTAGCAGCTTTGACTTATCACGTGTATTCTACATGCCATTTGGCCCCATCTACGAAAGGTAACATTCAAGTAACTTCACACCAACCGACCTCCTCCAAAAGTCTTAGTTTATATGAAGAGGAATCCAACCTCTTTTTCTCTCTCAGCTTCTTTGTGAGAGTATTTTATAGGTTTCTAAACACTTTGCACACATATTTAATCCATCAGTCACCATAGAGGGTCTTCTTTGATTTTGTTCATCAGATTCGTGGCCAAATGTACCCAGGGAATGGGTTATGTAGAAAATTTCCCCACTCCCAGCCCAAGGTTATGTTTGATCCCTCTGTATGACTGATTTGACTCGTTTGGGGAAGCATCTATGCACACACCAACACATGTACCTGTTCCATTTGGTAGAGTATGCAGCTTAGTGCTTTGAACTATTTTATTCCTGCTGCATGCAGAGTTCCTACAAAGTTAGCAAGTAAAGTGCAAAAGAGTGCTTTCAAAGGGCATTTTTTAAAAGGGTGCCACATACAGAATTTCCAAAACCAAAACCAAATAAATGTACAGTAGGTGTCTGCAGGGGCAACCCTTTGAGCCATGTTTACACAGAGACCTTGTGCCCTCTTGGTGGTGGAGACTCCTCCATATCTGCTCCCCACATCTGTAAGCTGTGTCCATGAAGCTAGAAAGACACACATACACACAAACACACACATTCACAAGGATGCATGATACAGACACTATAGTGAAGTTGAAAGCAGACTTTGGTCAGACTTTGAATACCAGCTCTACCACTTTCTTGCTATGTGCCATTGGGTAAATTACATAGCTTCCCTGAGCCTCTGTGTCCTTGTGTATATAATGGGTTTGCAAATACTTCCCACATAGTGTCGTGAGGTTTCATTGAGCTGACGTTCATAAAGTGCCTGTCCCACAGAAAGCACTGAATAAGTGAGAGGGAAGCCTTTGCCAGATTTGGCCGTAGGGCCTGGAATTTTAACACACTACTACAAAGAAGGTACCAGATAACACAGAGTGGAAACCCAAATAGGTGAGATCCATGGAAAGTTTAATTAGGAAACTTCGACTTGTTAGAGTAACAGGAAGTCCCAGTTATCTACCTATTCCTTAAAACACATTTTGTCAGGCTGGAATGGTTCCCATAGTAAAACTCAACATCCACACCTGCATAAACATCGCCTCCCAAGTGACTATTTATTACTGTGTCGACACAGCATGTCACCAGTGAGCGTCATCTCCAGTCCAATGGAGGAGTTGACTTAGACCTTCCTTGGACAGGAAGGGTCTCATCAAAGTTGATTCTTATCTGGCTCCTTCTCAAAAGCAATGCCAGAACCTCAACAGAGCCTAAAGGTCTGGGGACAGGGAGAGGAGACTGCCTGTGCTCCAGGCAGGGGAGAGCTGTACATTTTTGAGAAATGGGCAGGGACAGGTCTTCCATGGTACCAGCAGTCGAGGATGTCGTGGGTACAACATTCCCTGGAGGTCAGAAAGCACGAGACAGTTTCTGGAAGTCTCTGTTAGTGCTGTGATCTTTTGGTAAATCCACACTGCGGGTTAGTTATGTAAAATCCCGTGAACTCTCTAAAAGGTAGCAGTGAGCCTAGAACACCCATAACCAGCAACTGCCTGGTGTTGCCAGGTCCAGATGCTTTTGTGTGTGGCCCAAAGAGCTAGCTGTGAACCAGCCACTTATGATAAAGACTGAGGCATACACAGGAGTATGTATTTTCCCCTTTCTGATACAAACCCATTTAAAATCATCATGCAACCGATGACCAGCCATTCACCGACTTTCCTCTACAGGACGTTCTAGCCTCATGGACCAATCATAATTACGATGCATCAGCTTATCATTTGCCTGCGAACAATCAGTCTAGAGGTGTTCCAGTTTTAGGGAATTACCGATGTGAGATATAGAAACAAGCAAGGAGAAGAAGTGACATTTTCAGAATAAAGGAATGCCCAAACATAAAAGTAAAATGAAATATTTTAAATATTTCTAAGTTATCATTGTTAAACGGAATTAATGGCACTTACGCTGCAAGCAATAAAAACATTTCAAGCTTACTGTACAAGGGGTACATTTTCTCTTTGTTTGGAGATAGCGAGATTGGATCTTATCACTATGTCTACCCTAAGACACCCAAGGGACAAAAAGCCCTGAGATGGAAAGATGCCATGGTCCTCAGTGTGTCTCAGAAATGCAGGATGTCTACTTTTATAAAAATGTAGTATCAGCTAGACAGAACAGCAAGCCACTGGCATCATGCAAGGCAATTGTTTTGGTATTTCTCCCCTTCTTATCAAAACAAGTTATAAGCAAAGTACGTGGACATTTCCAAATCAGTTTATTGTCACCATTGCACCCACTGAGGAAAATGCATGATTGGCTTTTAACCACACAGCAGCTGATGTCGCATTTCACCACTGCTCACCAGTTCATGTGGACTACCTACCCCTGTGAGAAAGACCAGACTCAGCAGGCTTCTGTCATTGGTTAAGGTGGTATCCACAGTGTGATGTGTTTGTGGTTATCTTTTTTTCTTTTGTCATGAGAAAAGCAATTGCACCTTTTAATACGTGTGCTCTGATCTGCTTCCAACAAATTCCAGGTGCTCTCAAGTCCCCACAGACATTCATTTGGAGCATAGAAAGACTAGGTATGATGCACTGAATGGTTTGTATCAAAATTCAAGCTCAGAGTACATGCCAAAATGTCAACTCCAACCCTTGTTACACATAACCAGTTCACCCCCAATCAGGTCCCCTTCTGCATGTGCACATATTACTAACAACTCCACTAAAAAGACACAACTGTTTCTTTCAGGAGGCTGGTCTAAAGTATAGCTGCCCTTGTCTACGTGTGTGCCCAGGTGGCACTGCCCAGGGGTACAGACTGCCACTGCAATGCCCTTAACATGTACGGCCAGAACCGGCTACGTGCACGGACACTCTTGGTGTGTCCTGTGGTTGCTATCGGAAATGAAGTTCTTGTTCTCTGATTCCTTTTGGCAGAGCAAGCTTTCAGTTGTTTATGGCACAGTGAAATATATTCTTCAATGCTATGTAATTTTGGACTAATAAGTCTGTTTAAGGCACGTGTCTCAGTGTGAATATTAAAAACACACACATACACACACACACACACACACAGCTCAGTCCAAGACCAATGTCCTTCACATTTAGTTTCTGTCTTCAAGTAATGAGTTGTTCTCCAGCTCCCGGTCTTTGGTGTCCGTGGGTATCATCCCGTTCTCCATCTCAGCGTGCTGCTGGATACAGTCTGTCAGCATGGCTGTGCTGGAGTTGTCCGAGTTACACATCTTTTCCGTCTCCTCCTCTTTCTTCTCCTCGTCCAGGGAGTAATTCCGGAAGGTCTTGTAGATTTTCTGAACGTCCTCGGGCAAGGTCTTTTTGAGGTCCTTGTTTTTCCTCTTGGTGAGTCTGGAGGTGGACCCGAACTTGTTGATGATGTTGTCCTCAGACGCGCCCTGCCCATGCTTGTTCAACTGCTCCGGTCCCTTCAGACGCAGGTTGTTGGGCCGGTTGTTGATGCTCTCCTGGGATGAGGCCTTGAAGCGACCAGTGTCCAGGGCGGCAAAGACAGAGCGCTTCTCGGGGGACAGCATGTCCAGCGAGTGGGCCCGCTGGTCCAGGCCCAGCCGCCGGCGCTCCATGCTGCGGATGGTGGCTGCCCGCTGCAGCTTATCGTGGATCTCCACGCTGAGCCTTCGCCGTGTCTCCCGGAACTCGGCCGTGACGTTGGCCTTCCACTCCGCCGCATGGGCCTTGATTTCACCCACCTGGCCAAGAGACAGAAGAGCAACAATATGCTGACAAATGCCATTTGCCTTGGGCCTCCCAGCTCCCAGCCCTCGGGTGTCCCCACGGGGAGGCCAGGAGGTGGCGGAGCACGTGCCCAGGGAGAGGTGCAAATGCTACCTTCAGACCTAGTACTTCTGCCACCCGGGCACCCATCCCTAATTGGCTAGTGAATAAGGTGGCTCAGGGAGACACACGTGGTGGGGAACCCCAAGAAGCCTGAGATTGGGAGATGGTGACTTAAAGAGAGGGGGACGGCATTCTGCAGGAGAGGTTAAAATGTGGAGTTGGACAGGCCTGGCTTCCAGCTCTCATATTTTATCAGTTGCATGGCCTCGTTCCCCCAACACACACTTGAGTGACCATAGCTAGCTCATCGGAGATGAGGAAATACACCTCAGTCCCGGGCACAGCGGATGTTGTGCAGGCCTTCTGCCCTCCCTGCCTTTCTGGTTTGCTATCCAGGTAGGGTGACCAACCTGTTCCAGTTTGCCTGGGGCTGTCCCAGTTTCAAAACAGAGTCCTGTGTCCTAGGAACTCCCTCAGTCCTGGGAAAACTGGGATGGTTGGCCACCCTATCTGGGCCATGCTATGGCCATGTGCTGTGGGGCTGTCCCTGGTTTAAGAAGATACTCCAGGGCACCTGGTAACCCACTTCCCCCAGTCAGGGTGCAGGAGGAGGACCTGTTCTGCCAAAGCCCATAGAACAGGCCTCCTTAGAGTGGAGTTTTGCCTGAGAATCAGCACCAAATTTCTTGGCTCTTAATGAACAGGGCAGACAGTACAAGTCCCATGCTTCCCTCTGCAGATGAGGAACTCAAATTTGTGCATTCAGGAAAGTCAATATTCATGTTGTTCCCTTCTCTTTTGTTACAGCTGATTTTCAGCAGGTCAGTTAGCTGTCTGGGGAATCAGTCTGGAAATTGCATTGCTTACTTTCCTGGCTTACTTATGTAAGGAAAGTGATATGGGAAATCTCTCCATTCAGCAACTTTCTCCTGGGGCCTTTTATACAGAATGAAACAAACAGAGGCTGGCCTTTTCTTTATTTCTTTGGTTTTTCTTATCTCCCTTCCTTTCTTCAGCTTTTTTCCTCCTTCCTTGGCCGTCCTCCTTTCTTTTCCTCTCTTCCTAAGAGAGCTACATTATATATTATATATATATATATATAATTTTTGAGAGCTACACGAATATATATATATATAATTTTTTTTTTTTTTTTTTTTTTTGAGACAGAGTCTCACTCTGTCTCCCAGGCTGGAGTGCAGTGGCACATCTCCACTCACTGCAAGCTCTGCCTCCCGGGTTCACGCCATTCTCCTGCCTCTGCCTCCCGCATAGCTGCGACTTCAGGCGCCCGCCACCGCGCCCAGCTAACTTTTTGTATTTTTAGTAGAGACGGGCTTTCACCGTGTTAGCCAGGATGGTCTCCATCTCCTGACCTCGTGATCCGCCCGCCTCGGCCTCCCAAAGTGCTGGGATTACAGGCTTGGGCCACCGCGCCCGGCCTCATTAAATGTTTATTTTTGAGAGTGCTGGTGATTCTGATGGGGCTTTTGTGTGAAGGAATTATCACCACCAACAACACCACCAGAAAACACCCGGCCGAATATTTATTTTTTGATCACAAAATCTGTCTTTCCTTCTTATGTTCCCTTCATGTAAAGTTACATGCACAGCCCTGTCCACAGGGATATATTTGTCTCTATGGATGCAACAACCAAGAGGGGATATAAGTGAAAAAGACCCGTTGGATTCACTTCCCCATGGGGGGCCACTCTTTAATGATTTCAGTTTCTTACTGAATCAGGAAAGATTCTTGGTGTTCAACTGCCTTTCCACACAGACCCTGAGGCTGGAAAGGCAGGCTGCTCACCCCCTCAGCCGTAGTCTACCTCTCCTGACTATTTATTTTCATTTTCATTGTCTCTCTTTTCTCTCTCTTTCTCACAGACACAGAAACACATACACACACACACACACACACAGCTCAGTCCAAGACCAATGTCCTTCACATTTAGTTTCTGTCTTCAAGTAATGAGTTGTTCTCCAGCTC